ATATGAAATTGCACTCTTGAAATTATAGTATAATTTACTCAATTAAAAAATTGAATCGTCCATTGATTTAATCATTACATATAAAATAATCCTCCATAAAAAGTTCATAATTAGAGCTAGGTAATTCTGTCACCTCGCTAATTATATCTTAATCCTTGAATTCCAATTAATTCTCTAATGAACAATAAACTTTATGACCTAGTCACAAAATTTGAGCGCTCAATTGTTCAAGTTCTGAATTAATTATTCAAGGGAACTAATTTTCTAACTTTCAAAATTGAAAGAAATGGATTCCATATCTGTATATTAACATTCCCAGCCATTTGTTTCATTGTGTTTCTGAAATACAAGGATTGAGTTTATTTCTTCCAAACTATTTCCGAGTAAATCAAAAAACTAAATGTCACAAAATAAGAGTTTATTAATAACTCAGGATTAAGATTGTTTTATATATGATCATCTTTATGATTAATTTTAAATTTTCTATAATTAAAACAGAATTTATTAGAGAATTCAAAATTTATCTGGTCCAGTTCTATATAATCATATTATGTAAAGTACCTCCATCCTTAATATCTCCATATCGAATAATCCAGATAAGATTATTCCATTCTTAATGTTGATGGACCGTACTAATAATATTTAATCATAGATTCCAACTATAATTAATAATTATGAACTTGTTTTGATTATTATCCATAATTCAATCCTCTTGTATATAATTATATACTGAATTATGGTTGTATAAATAATCATGGAACAAAAATATTATATCAAATGATAATATCGAAACATGCTAAACTTGTCTTTAAATATTTATTTCCATAGAAAATATATTACAATAATATTTCTTTAGGGCACAACCCTAACAATTTGACCCCTTAAATCTTGAAGACCAACCTCGATCTCTCACTATTTCACACTAGGATACCTAGTCGAGAAGCACCTGTCGACCCAGGTATAGCCAAACTCGACCCTACATTCATTACCCACATATAAATGCTCATCTACCTCACGATCCTGTGCTTGATCTGACTTCAGTAAGCCACACACCTCCCATCACCCCCCTCTTTAAATGAGATCCATATAGTCACCGCCCCTATTCCCTTTCTTTCTGCCGATCTCCACTAGCAACATTTATAGCCCACACCTTCATCTTCCAAATACCTACATCCCACAATAGCTTCTATTATAAATAATCCAAATCCCACTCAAAAAGCAATCCCACGCTTCCAAAACCTAGTGCAATCCTCTAATAACAACTCACTGCCTCAAATTACTACCTCAACCACTCATTTTTATAAGAAAGGAAAGAGTTTCAAAATAAAAATCTATGAATTTTAAAAATGACAAAATTAAATGCAAATGAACAAGCAAAAGTGAATGGTGAACAAATTCTTAAATGCACACAAATAATGAACAATGAAGCTGAAACAACTTGAATGCACACAAATAATGAACAATGAAGCTGAAACAACTTGAATATTAAATCAAGTTAATCTACAAATGAGAACAAGTATTATTCATATCAACCATGCAAGTAAATATAGCTTGCCTCACAAGTGGATGGCTTTGACATATGACAAACAATAAATTCCTTACAAATATACACAGTGTAGCATATAACTAAGCCAAGCATCTGTGAAAATGACAGCTGATATGCAATGGGTGTGAACTCTTGCATAAGAATACACTGTATTGTCTACAAACAAAAGTGATAAACTTCTAATGAATGCAAACATCTATGAGCAACAACAATTCATATATCTTATTAATGAGACAATGGAAGTAGATATGCAAAAATCTAATAGATCTCCTTTAAACATAGATATGCATATGGCATGTTGTCTGTGAAGAAAGGGGATAGACTTATGATGCATCTGAATTATAACAAGCAGCAGTGATGATGAATAAGTTGTGAATGTAGTAGCCTCCATGTGTTCAACATCTGCTATCTTGGTTAACTTCAGTCGACTGGCAAATGAATACACTAACCCGCTCATGAATGACGACAATGAAATAGCCATGAGTGTAACAGTTTCAATAGGCTTGCAGATGCATGCAGAAGTCTCCCATTAACACAAAGCCAACATGCAAGCAAATGTAGTAACTCGCCAACTAATATGCATGAGGAAATCAGTGTTGAATACAGCTTACCCCGCAATCAACATTAGCACAAATTTTCCTGCAAGAAGAAGTGGATGACATGCAGCAAATATAGGCACTTACGAGTTGTTGTAGGAGACTAGCCATGTACACAATAAGCTACCTACAAGCAAGGGCACTAGCTAACAAGTACATGATAAATATAAGCACATATAAGCTGTGTAATATGAGGTAATAAATATTACATCACCCTCACACTCAATAAACATCTAATAGAAGGCAAATATATAGAACCCTTGCAAACTAAATGTGATAGTCCAAACTCTTAACTATCGAGATATTGCACATTTTGGCCAAAGAGCCTCACAATTTTATCTTGTTGGTGTAACTTCTTAGTAGGTCACCCATCCTAGAATTGCTCTGGGATGAGCATGCTTAACTACAGAGTTTCTTACAAAAATTTCATTCATTACACCAAAAAGCACCCCAATGTTTAAGAGTTGAGCTTTCTTTCACTTAAGGGGTTTCACAATCTGCCCCACTTAAGTAATTGATGTTCCTGTCAGCATCATCCTAGAATCATCTATCAAGAAGATAGGATTCTAGAGGTGGCCCCTACAAGTTCTAGTGGTGGTTCTCATCATGTAACACTTTATCCCACATAGGGTTCAAGAGGTGGCTCCCATGATATTACACTTTATCTTGTATGACACTTAGTTTCCATCTTGATACAAAATAGGATAAAATCGTGAGGCTCTTGGTCCAAAGCAAACAATTTCTTTATAATTAGGAGTTCAATTGTCTCACAAAAGGTGATCAACTTGCGATAAAAGAAAGTACTCATGAGTTATCATAGGAAACTTCACGTGTATAATATATTATCTGCAAGCAAAGGCAAGAAGAACTGTGGTAGATTCAAACACCTGCTGGCAATAATGGAGAATCAAATATGTAACCCTATTATTCTCATCACTTTGTGTCTATATAACACAAACTTATTGAAGTTAATCGAAGGCTGAACAAAACTTATGATAAAGCATTGGACTAAAGCTTTGGTTGGGACAACTTTCTTGCTACTTTCTAAAGTGGTTTCTGGTACAAAAATTTTAAGACTCACTAATAAAGGTATAAAGCCAACAATGAACCCGATCTTTTGTCAGCAAGTAGACATAGTCGATAAGGTTCGACTAACAGAAAGAGAATGATTATAAAAATTTTGATGATGGCCATGTTGATAGAAAATCTCAACTAGAGGGAACCCAAAATACTCAAAAATACCTCCAAATTCCCATGAAATACAATCCATGATGTCGATATTTAAAATTAAAATAAATCATCAAAATACTTAAAGTAAAATACCTATCCACCTTCCATAATAATTTGTCAAGGTGGACAAATATGAAAATCACTTCAGCTCACAAAGAGCAAATGTATGATTGAGAATATCACTATGATTCATTCTCAATCTGTCTCTTGCCAATAAGGACGTGACACGTGTCTTCTAACCGGTGGTCTTGTTGTCAAATGATACCACAGGTAAATCGTTATGATCGGGATCCTATGATTGAGTAATTTTGCTACCAAATGGTATCATTAAATTACTGTCATGGTCAGAGCCCGTATGTTCTCCAACGACATTAAATCCTTGAGTGAAGAATCAATAGGGTATGACTAAAAGGGTACAAAGCCCTCTGTTAGCTAAGGAGGCTTTAAATTTTTCTCCTTAAATAAATATTCATCCCATGTTTACAAGGTACCCTTGGACGAAGAAATCCATTGTTGCCGACAAGGATCCTTCTATCAGGTTGGGTCGACTACCTCCTCTGACTAAGTAAACCAAGGACCATGATGACCCGGAACGACGGAACCACGGGATCTTGATCAGGTCCATCATCACTCTCCCCACCATCTGCTTTAAGTGCAAGGTGGTAAATTTTCAATTTTAAATATTAAATTTTCAAATACTTTGACATGCTGCTACTATACGCCATATACTCCAAATCTGTTTGACGAATAGCCTTAATCAAAAGTTCTATCTCGTTACCGAAAGAGGTAATTAACTATAAGGGCTTGCGCCTATAGGAAACCTGAACTCAAATCATAAAGTCCTTATAAACTGGTGGATAAATCTCTAGGCAGTGCTTATTTAAAATTTAATCTGTCTTCTGAAAGTTTACCTCGGAACTTACTCGTTAAAACTTTCCTCGACGACCTGAAAAAAAAAAAAAAGAGAAAGAAGGCCGGAGAGAGGCTAGGGCATAAATTTTTGAAGCCCACAACCACAACGCTACCAAGCACAAGGCCAAAATGCTCCAATTCAAACAAAAATTCAAATTTTTGTTTTGAAAAACTTTTACCTATTTTGAATATGTGTTATTATATATATATATATATATTAAGTTAAAAAAATTTTAGATTTTTTTAACGAAATCAATATAAAAAAATCCAAATAACTCTTACTCAAAAATAAAAAAATCAAATCATCATTAATTAAACTAAATCATACGAACTAAATATGTTCCATTTGATTCCATTTTCTAGTTTACACCCTTATTATTCATATCACTTTGTGTCTATATAACACAAACTTATTAAAAATATTGGACTAAAGTTTTGCTCGGGATAATTTTCTTACTGTTTTCTAAAGTGATTTTCAAGTATAAAAATTTTTAATTGAAAAAAAAATGATAAATCAGAAAAATCATGTGAAAAAGTAGTATGAAAGCTGCCGGAAACGAAGCCTAAATCCTCAATAGACAGTTGCTATTAAATTAACTTATATTTGGCATACTCAATAGACAGTGACTATTAAATTAACTTACATTTGGCATTGAGTTGTCACAAAGTTGAAAAATGAATTTAAGAACGATGGCAATCACCTTCGGTCTCATTACCTCCATAGAAGAAAATTAAATCCAATAGACCATTAAAGAAGCAGAAACTTAGCATTCCATAGAAAACTGAAATCCTTAGTTACCAGATGCCAAATTATACTGAGTATCACCAAACTTTCTCCCTCAAAATATGACTGAATCAAAGGAACTGGACAGAGAGTAAGAAGAGCTAAAAGCTGTTCATTTTTTATTTATTATTTTCTTGCGTATGAAGCTATAAAACTTGGCTATTTAAACAACCATCCTCATGAATGCATTACTATTCCCTCAAAACAAAATATTCATATAGAATGAAGCGCATTGAAGAAGCAATTGCTCTGTTTCTTATTAGTCTGTTCTCCTTTTCAGCAGCAGCAGCAGCAGCAGCTATTGATAGGAGCCAATTCCCTCCTAATTTTCTCTTTGGGACAGCCACCTCTTCTTATCAGGTATTAACTTCCAATTACAGATCTGGTTTTATATATATTTGAACTAATTAGTGATTATAATCCATAGATTGAAGGTGCATATTCAGAAGGTAACAAAAGCTTGAGCATATGGGATGTATTTACACGCATACCAGGTAAATTATATATCTGATCTTTTGTTGTCAATTTGTAATTTTTCAGGGAAGAAAAAGAAAATTTCATGTTTCTTTTTACGAAATTCTCAAAAAGCTGATTTATCTTACTCTGTACAGTGCTCCTTCTGATCTATTTCTTTATTATTTTGTTTGCTAAACCGTTGAAAACTCTTATAATCGGCTAACATAATATGGCAGGAAAAATACTAGATGGTAGTAATGGAGATGTTGCAGATGATCACTACCATCGCTACCTGGTGAGCACTTTTTAAGTGGGGGGTTTTTTTTTAATAATGAATTACTTGATATTCCTTTATCTTAATTTCTAAAAGAAACGCTTCATTAAATTGCAATATTTAAGGGATGTTTGGTTTGAAGTTAAAAAGCGTGTTAAGTACTTCAAATTGTCGACCCCTACATTTAAGACATGTGAAAGGTGAATTTGTTGACTTAAGCGATGGCTGGCTGGCCCGACGCATCACTTAAATAGTCAAACGACCTCCGATCGCAAAACGGACTATGCCATTGCGATCAGAGCATCGCCTAAGAGGGAACCCCTCAAAGTCAAGGTGAAAACGGTTAAAATAAGCAACCGGCACCGAAATTGAAGCGCAGAGTTGCCCGAAGGATATCCAATCTATTTTACTCTACTCTCTTTTTCAGCTAATCAAATGACCCATTACTTAATCACACCCACTTGTGACACATGCTAAACCATATTTGTTGTGATGAAAAAAAAAACAATGAAAAACAGGAGGACATTGAGCTAATGCATTATCTTGGAGTGAATTCATACAGATTTTCAATATCATGGACGAGAATCCTTCCAAGTAATAAGAAAGTCATTGTTTTTCCAAATAGAGATACATTTTATTAGAAAAAAAAAACTTCTCAATGAATGAACTAACGTACTTCATTGGAGTAGGGGGCAGATTTGGGCAAATCAACCAAAATGGAATCACATTTTATAACAACCTTTTAGATGCCTTACTTACTAAAGGTATTATCTTTACTGAAAAATTTGTATTACATATTTCACAAAAAGAAGAAAATTTGCATAACATTGATTACTTCGTTCTTATAATTCATCTCACTTGTTTTGAGATAGGAATACAACCATTTGTTACATTAAGTCATTACGATATTCCTCAAGAACTTGAAGATCGATATGGTGCGTGGTTGAATCCACAGATACAGTACGATTTCCTTTTCCTCAACAACTTATACTCTCTCTCTCTCTCTCTCTCTCTCTCTCTCTCTCTCTCTCTCTCTCATGATTTCCAACTTTTTAATGTCATTAGACATTAAAAAGGGTGATCTCTCTTGTAGTTGGGAACTTAAACCTCTCTCTCTCTCTCTCTCTCTCTCTCTCGAACTTTTATTCGGTCAGGACACCTGACGTAGCTCTACATCCGAACGCCAATAAAATATTACCACGTGCTCTTACTCTTTGCTGCGCGGCCCGACGACCCGGCCCGGACCGGAACACGGTATTGCTATGTATTAGCTGATTTGTGCAGATCAGGGTATTGTTAGGTATTGCTCGGTAACGAGAAATACCACTCTGTCAAGACCAATACCTAGCAATACCGAGTAATACCCCGATTTTGCTAGGTATTGCTCGGTATTGGTCTTGGAAGAGCGGTATTTCTCATTATTGTCAAGCAATACCTAGCAATACCGAGCAATACCTAGCAATACATGAACATAGCAATACCGGTTTCTGGTCCGGGTTGGGTCGTCGGGCCGCGTGGTAAAAAGTAAGAGCACGTTGCGACATTTTATTGGCGTCCGGATGTAGAGCTACGAGGACACCTAATAAAAGTTCCTCTCTCTCTCTCTTATGATATTTTCATTTATTTTAACATTTTTTTCTTCTTTTTCAGGAAAGATTTTGCATACTTTGCAGATACATGTTTTAAAGCGTTTGGTAATAAAGTGAAGTACTGGAGCACAGTAAATGAGCCAAATCTTATGGCAAAATGGGGTTATATGACAGGCCAAAACCCTCCAGGTCGTTGTTCACAGCCTTCTTGTCCTTCAGGCGATTCTAAAACAGAACCATATATTGCTGCTCACAACATCATATTATGCCATGCTGCTGCTGTTGACATATACAGAAAAAAATATCAGGTATTATTTTATATTTTTGTGCATGAAATATGAAAATAATAATTTTCATATTCCTAACATGTTTAAAAACTATATTAATAGCCTCTTATAATATTTAATATATTTAAGGTAAAACAAGGAGGCTTTATTGGCATTGTAATGGCGTCAAACTGGCTGGAACCATTTACAGATACTCCTGTAGATAAATTAGCTACTTCACGAGCTCTATCTTTTGATGTTCCATGGTATATATTTTAGAAAATATATTGCAATGAATGCTTAAATATATTATATAGTTATAAAGCTTGGCAAAGCAAACAATTTTCTTTGTTTTTTCTGCTTTTTCCGTTCAGGTTTCTGGATCCTATAATTTATGGCGATTATCCTCCAGAAATGCTTCAAATTCTCGGATCAAGACTGCCAAAATTTTCAATAGAGGATAAGAAGAAGTTGCAAACTAAGCTTGACTTCATTGGAATCAACCACTACTCATCTCTGTATGCAAAAGATTGCTTGTTTTCACCATGTGATTCCGAGACTTCAGAAGGCAATGGATTTGCTGACAGAACTGGAGAAAAAGATGGGCATTCTATTGGAGCTAAGGTAAGAGAAGAACATTTATATCTCAGAATTTTGTTAATGATATCTACTATTGTTCAAACTTTAATTATTTGGTTAACAGACTGCAATAAGCAACTTCTATGTGGTTCCAAGCGGCATGGAAAAGATGATTTTGTATATAATGGAACGATATAACAATACCACTATGTTTATCACAGAGAATGGTAACAAATAGATATGATATCAAGACCCTTATTAGCTTGATTAGAATTTTTTTTTTTTTTTTTTCATTCTCCTTTTAATGTGAATGTGACTGAGTTCAGGCTTTGCACAAGAGGGTAGCAGGAATCCTTCCAATGAAATACTGAAGGAATTGCTCAATGACAAAGAAAGAGTAGAGTATCATAGTGCCTACCTTTCTTCACTATTGAAAGCTATGAGGTAATAATTTAGTGCAATTGAAAATGTGCCTTATATTCCTTCAATTTTTTTTTTCCCTAATATATGTTGATGATTGAATTCGTGTGTTTAACTGTAGGAAAGGGGCTGATGTAAGAGGATACTTCATATGGTCTTTGATTGATAATTTTGAATGGTTGAATGGATACAGCAAAAGATTTGGGCTCTATCATGTGAATTACAACACACAAGAGAGAACTCCAAAACTATCAGCAAAATGGTATAAGGAATTTCTTCAATGCTCCGCTGAAATAAGTATAAAAGCAGATGGTGATGTAAAGCAAAAGCTGGTGGCATATTAATAATTCAGAAAAAAAAAAATCAATCATGATAAATGATAAGATTTTGTCTGCCTGAATTTGATTAGTTACGCAGCTTATTTTTAATTTTTTGATTGGGAGCTTTGACTTTTAATTAAGAAATTATGGGTTTGAGTCTTGTGAATGTGATGCGTTGTGAGTTTGACTTAATTAATCTAAAGTTCGATCTCGAAGCTAGCTATGAAGAAGGCTATAGCAATGATTTTTTTGTATTGAGTGGTGATCATAAATTTTTGTTGAGTGCTAATTACCTTTCCATTTCTCAATGAATAAAGCAGAATTGTGTAGTTTGACATTATGATTTAGTTTGTCAATCAAATCAAATCAGGCATATATCAAATAAATTCTCAGTTGTAAACCATTTCAGAGAATATCTGATCCTCTTACGGAGTCCGGACAGAAAAAAATGGTCCGGATTTACTGCGTATTTATTAAATTTTTACTATTTATTTATAAATATTTAGTAAATGCTCAGTAAATATGCAACAATCCAGACGATTCTTCCCGTCGGGACTCCTCACAGCATAATTTCTCCCCTCTTGAGGCATAGGCGCCGGAGGAATGTGAGCGTAGAGGCGCTAGATCAAAATAGTGAAATTATTATATTTAAATATCCCAAACCAAATGGGTATTTCATTCCCCCAATCACCTTGCCAGAGAAGAGAAGTGTAATGCCAAGAACAAAAAATTTTAATAGTGTAGTCACCGACTGTTGATGAATTCCCATAATTTGCTGAAGAATGGCCGGGTTTCGGCAGTAGAAATTCCTGGAAGAAATATTCGACATAGGAGCTTTTGGAAAAAGCGGAAATTCGGGTAGTGCAGGATCCCGTAGCAGAGTTCGGCTATGGATTTCGGCTCAGGCATGAAATTCCTGTAGAGTATTTTGGCATATTGCTTTAGGAAATTGACAATGGGATTAGGAGAAAGTAGAGAAACGGCAGTGAAAGAGGAAGAATGTATTAAACTGAGTAAATTGCAGAATTTTTTTTTTTTTATGTTGCTTACTAATAGAACGTAGTTAATATTTAAGTGTAGAATCTTTATTCAATCAAGAAATAACATAGAAGGAAGAAAAAATTTAGGAAAAAGGAAATCAAGATAAGTAATTTTGGTATATGCTTAGTACGAATTTATAATTAGTGGTAAAAGTTCTTAAAGATGTTATATCTTATGGTGTATTAGATTTATCTGATCATATGCACAGAGAAAGTTTCAAAGTGACTCACAATCGTAGAATAGTACGAAGTAGAGAATTGGAGGAGACACCTCGGCAAGGAGGTAAGCAATGCAAAATTTTAATTGAAAGAGTATATAGTATCATCCTGGACATATATATTGATTTTTAATGATAATTTAAAAAGATATATAGTTATCAAGCATATGATTTTATTTCATACATATGACATGTACGAGTAATCACTTGTGAATTTGAATGAATCAAATTTAGATTATAACAAAGATAGAATTATGAAAGAATGTGAAAAGTAAGAACTATGAATATAGAAATTCTAATGCATAGAGATTCTTTACATGCAACAGATAGATGAAATATATGGAATGTTTATAATTAACATATGCATGTTGGATTTATGTTGTCTATATGATGTTAACTAGGGATACATCTATATCTATCAGAAATATATATGAATTATGCTAAATATCAAATTAATAAAGATTTATTGGTTTATGATATAATATCTACAATATCATGTGGGCAAAATGGACCCAATATGAAATCTCTATTATAGATGGGGTAAAAAGGACCCTAGAGAATATGATACATGTATAGCATGTGGGACAAAAGGGACCCCTCAAAAGTTAAAAAGGACCTCTATATAATTCAAAGACGATAATGCCAAGTTTACTTGAACTCCATTGAATATATTTATGAAAGTATAGCCAATCTTTTTAAAAGTCTAAAGTTGATATTCTGTAAATTATTCATTGAAGGAAAAAGATTAATGCCACATTTCATTGTATGAGGTTTTCTAAACTTTATTTCACTTATGATTAATATTGTAAATTTTATAATGTAATTTATTTTTTAATTAAATGTGCATAGCTTATTAGGCCTCATAGCTCACCAGTTATTTCTTATTGGATGTTATTAAAGGAAAAGGAAAGGAAAACATCGTTGCAGATTAATTTGCAAGTTATTTTATCTTTAAGGTTAATGTTATCTCTGTTTGTAAGTCTACACTTGATGTACGTAGACAGTTCAGTGAACTTTTTATTTTGGATTCATTAGTGGCTCTATAAATTTATATTTGAAGTAATTTGGAGTTTAGATGTTTCTGTTTATTAAGTGAATGATCTGTTCTTAGAACTTTCATATAAATTCCATGAAATGAAATGTAAGAAAATGTTTAATGATGGAAAAATATATGTTTATGCTTTACACTCTACAATATTGTTAAAGGGTACTGTGTGGTGTTACAAGAAGAGGAGAAGGGAAGAAGAGAAGAGGAAACAAAAATAGAGGAAGAGGATTTGGAGGCTAAAGCTTTGGTTTTAATCTTCGGGCTAGTTAAGGAACTTGCAGAGCACAATGTAAACTTTTAAATCCATGTCTTCGATTTTAATTTCCCTTATTTTATAAAAAAAAAAATATTGATTAAAATTTATTTTTCTTGGGCTTTATGAAGTTTTCATCGTGTAGCTTTTTATATGTTATTGTATGCTTTATTCTGAATGTTTTGACTATATGAAATTGAATTTTTAATGATAGGTTTTCCTATAAATTTTTTTAATATATATTTTGATTTAGATTTTTCTAGCAATTGTAATTGTTATGTAAAGTCTTAAAAAGTTCATGTGAATTCCCCTCTTAAATTGGAAGTGAGATAGGAAAAGTTTAGTGAGTATATTAGTATACATGCAATGTGGATTTTTTACAGGCAATTCATGCATTATTTATATATTGCATTAGATTTCTCATATAATTATTCTTATATTGTATTAGTCGTATTCATATATAACATTGGAGAAGTTATGACATGTGAAAAAATTGCACTCTCTATTATGTCATAAGGGCCTTAAATATTCTATTCTTGCCTTATTTATTTATGGCATAAGCGGGAGGAATTCTGACCTCACTCATTATATGCAAGTGTGGGAGGTAAAAGAGAGACATAAGTGAAAGTTTAGTTATAAATAGGCATCTAGACATATGCATGATAATGCATTGAGGCCAATGAAATAAGCATAAGTAAAAGCTAAAATAAATGTTGGAAATTCTAAAACTCTATACAATCTATGATGAAGTATGACAATCAAGTAAAAGTGAATCTCTAAGGCCAAGTATTCTGTGAAGTATTTGGAATTTTTGTACTAGTAGATTTACAAGTTAAAATATTAAGTACATTATGGAGCCTTAAAATTATATTTCACTATTTTACTGTTGTTCAATTACTTTAGCACTTACTTACTGTATTTTTATTTATATTGAAGTTGCTCCTTTTAATTTGAATACTAACGTCTATGATAGGTCATGATAAGAAGTCTACTGAGCTAGTTATGCTCATTCAATTGTTTTAATGTTTCAAAAATATGTAAAGGACATGCTGAGTAGATTAGATGTAGAGGCATGATTCTGGATCCGAGTTAATAAAGTACTATTTTTGTTATCCAACATTTAATTGTTTAATATATAGACTTTTGTGATCTGGATTATTATAATTATATTTTTAAGAAATGAAATTTGCTTGTCTTACTTTTATGATTTGTAATGTTAACAGCTTTAGTTGTTATTATTGAATAGTTGAGTTACCTAATGATAGGTCCTAGGCAAACCAATCCTTCCATTAGATCCCAATATGTCACAAATAACATGATATTTGACAAATAATGATTTTTCAATTGATTGAGACAACTAATTTCAAAAACTTAATGGCCTAAGATAACATATTAATGAAATCTCGATCAATTTATATCGAACTTTTTCTATAATTCCTTATCAATA